GAAATTGAGTGGGGGGGGGGCGGGGGGTGGGGGAGCCACAGCCATAATGCTTACCAGAGGGTCCCGTTCTGAAACCATCGAATTCAACAGGCCCTTCATTATCTTGATTTACGATAAAAAAACTAGCACTGTACTTTTCATGGGGAAGATTGTCAATCCTACTGAGAAGTAATTGCAGAGTTGGTCGGCATACTAGTATTCTGCAAGGATGATAACAGTTTCAGTGTTCACACATGTGGGCTAGCTAGTGTTACTAACTGCTCTCTGAGTGTGGGAAATTTAAAAGTAAACGAGGAATTTTCTTATCAGATTAAAAAGCAAAAAAAAATTTTTTAAAAAACCCCAACACTTGACAATTGTGGAATGTAACATTTTCCCCAGTTGAGTAATTCAAATTATTAATATATTTTCCAAATTTCCTTGGAAGACAGTTGTGGGGTTTTTTTTAACCTGCTGTTATTTTTACAAGCAAATTCTCTCTAGTAAGTGGTTTTGTCCAGACTGCTTTCAGTTCTGGGTTCCTCAGCAAAAGATTTATCCCAACACATAACAAGTTCCTTGCAATTTTATAACAGCTTCTCCAGGACTTGCTGATGACCAGTATCCACCTGAGCTGGTTCCTATAGAGTCCTTTCTTCCTTGCTGTCTAGACCATTGCTCACTCTCAACCAACTTGTTCTTTCTCACATGTTCCAACTCTTTGGCCAGGGCATCTTAAAAAAACATTGACAAAAAAGAGAAAATCCCTGGGACAATAAATTCATTCTGCTGCAGCACTTACTGTAAGTGTCTTTTTGAAATTCTCAGGGTCAGCAAAAAATTTGAGAGATAATGACATTAAGCATAAACTGTCAAAGAATTGTTGTGCGACAATGTGATCCTTGAATTATTGTGATGGCTGACTAATAATAAAAATAAACATTGTAATTTAAATCCACTACTTAAGGACTCCAGTCTCTTGCTATCATCCTATAGATCTTTTCAAATCAAATGCTTTCAGTCACCTATCAACACAGCAGGGTGTACCTGTAAAATCTGTTTTAAAGGCTGTTGAATGAATTGAACTTTTTTTCATATGGAGATGGCAATTCTTTGCATTCTCTCCTTAGGTGCCTGCTTGGGTAAAAGCTGTTTTCAGGATACATATAAACACTCTATTGCTGTGGTGCCAATGACCCACTCTTACTTCATAGGAGCCCTGGGGCGCAGTGCTCAGCCTTGCCAAACTCTATAGCAAACCTTTCACCATGCAGCTCATTTTTACAGTGGTCCTGGCAATGTGCTGTGAGCACTGCCAAGGTGACGCAAGCTCCAAATCATCAAGCTCTGATCTCTCTCTGGGTTCACTCTGCACAGAGGCATTTTATTGAGACCCATCAGTGCTTGTAGCATGGGTTTGATGTATGGGGGGGGAGGTTTCTGACTTTGGGACCTGAAGAATGCTGCCTTGTATGAGTCCCTTTAATCCAAGCAGCAAGAACTCAGTGGAAGCCCTGAGCTATTGTTTCTGCTGGGGAAAGATACCATCATTCAGTGGACCAAGAGATACTGTGTCTCTGTGCGAAACAGTAGATTTGATGGAGTTGAGATGAACGATAACTTGCTGTGGTGTGGGGTAGCTTGCCCTGCAGTGACTGTACAAACTCAGCAAGAGCTGCGAGCAGCTTTAGCAAGATCCCACCCTGATAAATCTGTGCACCAGTACTGATTAGAAGGTAGGATGGTGAGAGTTTTATCAGAGTGGGGTGGCAGAAAAACAGGTTCTCAGCCCATCTGGGGAATTAAAGGCCTTGATGCCACAGAAGGTTACAGAGCAGATCATCTTGAGTGTGATCACACAGCATGTCCAGGACAACCAGTAACCAGACCCAGTCAGCATGAGTATATGACTGATCTCTTTCTACGACAAGATGACCTAGCTTAGTGGATGAGGAAAAGACTATGGATGCTGTCTACCTGGACTTTGATAACACTGTTGACACCATTTCTCACAGCGTTCTCGTGGAGAAACTGGCTCCTCATGGAGAAACTGGCTCCTCATGGCTTGGACCAGTGTACTCTTCGCTGGGTAAAAATCTTGCTAGACAGCCAGGTCCAAAGAGTGGTGGTGGTGAATGAAATGCAATCAAGCTGGCAGCAGGCCACAAGTGGTGTTTCCCAGTGCTCAATATAGGGGCCAGTCCTGTTTATTATCTTCTTCAATGATCTGGAGAAGGGGGTCAAGTGCACCCTCAGTAAGTTTGCAGATGACACTGCGCTGGGCAGGAGTGTTCATCTACTTGAGGGTAGGAAGGCTCTACAGAGGGACCTGGACAGGCTATATCAATGGGCTGAGGCCAACTTTATGAGGTTCAACAAGGCCAAATCCAGGGTCCTGCACTTGGGTCACAAGAACCCCATGCAATGCTTTAGCATTGGGGAAGAGTGGCTGGAAAGCTGCCCAGCAAAAAAGGACCTGGGGGTACTGGTCAACAGCCAGCTTAATATGAGCCAGCAGTGTGCCCAGGTGGCCAAGAAGACCAATAGCATCCTGGCCTGTATCAGGAATAGTGTAGTCAGCAGGACCAGGGAAGTGATTGCCTACCTGTACCCAGCACTTGTGAGGCCACAGCTTGAATCAAGACACTGAGGTGTTGGAGCATGTCCAGAGAAGGGCAAAAAAGCTATTGAAGGCTCTGGAGAACAAGTCTCATGACAAACGGCTGAGGGAACTGGGGTTGTTTAACCTGGATAAAAAGAGGCTGAAGGGAGACCTTATTACTCTCCACTGCTACCTGAAAAGAGGTAGGTGTCAGTCTCTTCTCCCTAGTAACAAGTGATAGGACAAGAGGAAATGGCCTCCAGCTGCACCAGGGGAGGTTTAGATCAGATATTAGGAAAAAAATTCTTCACTAAAAAGATTATCAAGCATTGGAGCAGGCTGCACAGAGAAGTGGTTGAGTCACTAAGTCTGGAGGTGTTTAAAAGACATGTGGATGTGGTGCTTAGGGACATGGTTTAGAGGTGGATTTGGCACTGCTAGGTTAGCAGTTGGACTTAATGATCTTAAAGACCTTCTCCTACCTAAATGATTCTATGATTCTATGACATGAGTCCAGGCAGCTTTCACAGAATCACAGAATGTTCGGGGTTGGAAGGGACCTCAAAAGATCATCTAGTCCAGTCCCCCTGCCAGAGCAGGATCACGTACAGTAGGTCACACAGGAACACGTCCAGGCGGGTTTTGAATGTCTCCAGAGAAGGAGACTCCACAACCTCCCTGGGCAGCCTGTGCCAGGGCTCTGTCACCCTCACAGTGAAAAAGTTGTTCCTAATATTTCTGTGGAACCTCCTATGTTCCAGCTTGTACCCATTGCCCCTTGTCCTGTCATTGGACGTGGCTGAAAAGAGCCTGGCTCCGTACTCCTGACACTCCAGCTTTTGGAAGTAGAAAAACACCTTATGGCAGTGTTACTCTCTCACCCAGCCTTCAAGTCTTGTCTCCAAAGCACTATGTTTTCCCAGCAGAAAGGAATGCAAAAGAAACATGAACATTTTTAAGTGTAAATGTTTCATTGAAAACCTCTAAATAGTCACTGCAGTGGGAGCTAGGATGAGTGCAAATTCCAAGAGGAAAAGGAAGATAACTACCATGGGCTATATACCCATCCACCCAACATTCCCTGTTGGGTTGTGCACCTCTGCACTTACCCACATGTGGCTGCTTTAATTAGATTTAACCTGAGGACACGTATGATATCATCCATTCCCTGTAAATTGTTAACCAGCTAAGACTGGTCTGGAAATATCCTCTACTAAGTTCCTAGTCTCAGGTATAACAGAGAATTCATTTTTAAATAACTTTGTAACTGTGCTTTCCTTAAACAGTTTTCAAGACAACTATAATTCATTCATTTCATGTAGATGTCCTTGAGTATGACTAATATCCTGGTTACATGAACTCTGCTTAGCATTGATATTGCTGGCTTCTTGCAAAAGAGAATTCCCATGATGAAATAGCTTTTCAGTTCAATCCTACCCCTAGAGATGAATTTATTACAAGTGCATTAGCCTGATTTACACAAATAAGTCTTTCTTTCTCTTGGTTTTGATTGCATTGATTTTATTTTCCATAAACCATCTGGAAACAAAATACTTATGATTTATTACATTAGTAAAGAAGAGGGTATCCTTTATGGTTGGAAAACTTCTGTTAACAGCAATGTGATGCTCATATGGAAGGTCTGAAAGAGACTTATTCAAATACCTTATTAAGGAAAAATTGTTAGGTTGTTTACTACATCTTATGTAGGAAACAGACCACATGGAAAATGCTCTGCTGAAAGAAAATGTTTGAAAGGAAAAAACAATATAGAATAAGATAATTCTCTAAGTGTTGTAGTCATCATAAGAACTTTTGTTGCAACCAGGAAAGAATCTCAGAGCAACAGAAAACATCTTTGCACAGAGGAGATAAAAGATGTCATGAAAAGTGGGCCCTGAAACACATATGAATGCAAAAGAGAGAAACTGCCTAGACTTCATCTAGGTATGCTGCTCATACAGATTCTTTAGCTATCCAAAAAAGCCACACCATATCTCACATACTCAAGGGACAGATAATGGAATCTACAACTTGCAATTATTTTTTGTTCTTGTTTCATTTATCATTCAGGTGGGAGCTCTATCCCTCTGTGTCAAAGTTTAAGTCTGTGCTGGCCACTAAGCTCCAAGGTACTCTGTAATTCCACCTCCCAGCACAGGATAATAAGGGAACCAGAAAGAGAAATTTTGAGGTTGAAAAAACCCTGAATCAGTTTAATAAAAAACAGAGAATAAAACTAACAATAGCAATGAAGATATCAAACTATATACTGATACTATACAAGCATGCAAATATGCTCAAAGATACATGAGAACATCTTCAATACCAGACTCACGTATTCCGGATGACAACAAGGTCCCAAGCAGAAAAAAAAGTCCCAGGTTAGACTTGGCAGCATGCAGGAGCAGCCAAATCCAGAGTCCTGATGATAAATCCACCAAAAAAACCCAGAAAAAGACTTGTGCCACTCCCAGTCAGAGAGTCAGGGGAAAAACAACCTGTCTTATTGAACAGCACTCCTTTGTAGTGTGAAAACAGGAGACTGGAACACCAACAGCACAGGAAGAGATGACAAGCAGCCAACAGCA